GCAGCACCAATATCCCTATCCCCCCTGCCCTGAGCTGGAACCCCCAGATCCCACCCAGAAATGGAGGTTACAGGGCTTGGGGTTTCTAACACTGTTTTCAAAGACCAGTCAGACGCCATTTCCTAAATCCTTCATTTCTGCCCTTCCCCCAGTCCACAGGAGAGGAACTGAAACAAGAAACAAAAGAATCAACTCAGCTCCACAGGGCAACACACTGACAACTCATTTGTGGAGGAGTTTGGAGACAAGGGGGCCAGCGCCCCATCCTGTCACAACGGGGCCCTGATCTCAGCTGGGGCAGGGACTGTCTCTCCCTGTGCAGCGCCCAGCACATCGGGGCCCAGTCACCCCTGGCTCGTACTGGGCCCCTCTCTCCCAGGCCCAGATTAACAAAGGTATTTGGGCTCCTGATTTCTCTTGACATGGGGACCTTGTGTCTCCCCCAACTCTAAGGGGTGTATATAGAGGCACCTGGCCAGTGGCCTCATTCACCTTTTAGCCTAGCCTAACTCCTGGGGTGGGTCATCATGCCCCTTCCCCCTCATCCCCTTGCAGAATTGGGCTGTCAAGGGTTCCCTCCCCACTCTGAACTCCGGGGTACAGATGTGGGGACCCACATGAAAAAACCCCTATGCTTATTTCTACCAGCTTAGGTTTAAAACTTTCCCAAGGCACAAATTCCTTCCTTGCCCTTGGTATTGCTGCCACCACCAAGCGATTTAAACAAACATTTAGGGAGGGCCACTTGGAGCCCTACCTCCCCCAAAGTATCCCCCCAAGCTCCTACACCCCCTTTCCTGAGGAGGATTGAGAATAATATCCTAACCAATTGGTTACAAAGTGAGCACAGATCAACCCCCCTGGGTCTTTAGGACACTGAAAAACAATCAGGTTCTTAAAAGAAGTTTATTTAAAAAAAAGATAAAAGAATCACCTCTGTAAAATCAGGATAGAAGATAACTTTACAGGGTAACAAAAAGATTCCAAACACAGAGGATTTTCCCTCTAGGCAAAACTTTAAAGTTACAAAAACAGGGATAAACCTCCCTCTTAGCACAGGGAAAATTCACACGCTACAACAAAAGATAATCTAACACATTTTCTTGCTATTACTTACTATTTCTGTAATATTAGATGCTTAGTTCAGATGTGACTTTGGGAGATGTATTTTCACTGACCTGGAGAGAACAAAGGAACACAAAACAAAAACCTTCCCCCACAGATTTGAAAGTATCTTCCCCCATTATTGGTCCTTTTGGTCAGGTGCCAACCAGGTTATCTGAGTTTCTTAACGCTTTCCAGGTAAAGGCGGGATTAACCCTTTACAGGGTAAAGAGGGATTTTTTGCTACCCTTAGCCATATGTTTATGACATGGGCATGGCTTGTGTTTGCACAGTGCCTATAACCCTGCTGGCTCCCCCACCCCAGCCGCCACACGAGGCAGGGAGGACTCCGTCCATCCGCTGGCACGGCTGCTGCAGGGGTGTGGAGCCAGGAGCACAACCGAGAGCCCAGTGTACCACGCCGTTTGCGTAGCAAGGTGGGAGCTGCACGGCGTAAGTCTTTTGAGTGACTGGCATAGCAGTGGCATAGGGAGAAATGGGTCCATGTAGTGCCGAGCACAGAGCAGCCGGTGGCTGGACCGGGGGGACTGGGGAGGCAGCAGCGGGGTGCACTTTGCACCCCGGCCAACTCTGGGACTGCAGCTGCGTTTGTGGGGCAGCTGCCTGGTGTCAGTCCCTTTAATCCATTGGGCTGCACCCCCTGTGGCTCAGGAGGTGGGTTCTGGACTAGCCCCTGGGGCTGCACCCTCTGGGGATGGGAAAAGGCAGCTGGATTCTGCCCCTTTAACATCTAGGGCTGTAGCCCGATGGATGGAGATGGGGGGAGGAAGGGAAACTGGACTCAGTCTCAGCCCCTTCCACTGCTTGCTCTATCCCCTTTGCTGATGCATTTATGGGGAGGGTTGGCTGGAATCTGTCCCTAACAGTCCCCTCCAGAACTGCAGCCCCATGGCTGGGAATAGGGGAAGCACCAGGACTCGATCCCTTTAACCCCC